AGTGCTGCCCGTACCCCAGTCCTGCCCCATAGCCCCAGCCCCTGCCCTGTCCCAGCCCCAGCCCCTGCCCTGCCCCAGTCCTGTCCCAGCCCCAGCCCCGGCCCTGCCACCTTCCCGCCCCAGGGGGCAGCCCCCCCATCCGTCACTGATCTCCCCCTCCTCGCAGGGGCCCGAGCTGGAGGGAGGAAGGGCGAGCAGCCAGAAGAGGCCAGAATGGAGCTGGGCGAGAGGAAGAGGCTCTTGTCCGCCTCGCTGGAAGGAGACGGGAGAGAAGAGAACAGTCAGTATTGTCCTTGGCGCCTGTCCTCCCAGCTGCCCCGGGTGGCCCCACCGTCAGCCTGCAGGGCTGAGCAACCGTGTTGCCGCGCGTCCGGTCGCCGCGCGTTTCTGTGAAAATCGGACATAGCGCCACTTGGGCTGTCCATGCTGTCCTGGCTGCCCACGCTGTCCTGTTCCTTCCTGCTACGCCGCTACCCCATTGTAATTCCTGTAGCGTGATAACCAGGCTTAATATTTTGTAGTATAAAACTTCTGACTTTGTTCTTCAAGACCTCTTTTGGTTTTCTTGGACATTCGCATTACCGTGTAGATGTTAGGGTCCAATAATTAATTAGCACACATGCACAGACACAATCCCGCTGGGATTTTAACTGATTGCTTTGACTCTGTAAATCGATTTGGGTGAGAATTAACACGGGCAAGAAACATTGAGTCTTCTAGCCCATGCACGTTTAGTTAATCCCTGCCAGCAATATTCTGTAGCCTCAGTGTACAGGTACCTCTTAGATTTACTCCAAGACATCTGACATTTTTTAATGCTGCTGTAGATGACAGTTTGAGTTTCGTTTTCTAGTTGTTTCTAGTATATTGAAATAGTTGATTTCAATTTACTGACTTGTTTTTGGTGACTTTGCTAAACACACTAATTCTAATAGCATGTAGATTCCTTTAGATTTGTCACATGCACGGTCATCTGCAAATCTTTTCAATTTTTGTAATTTTATATCTTTTATTACATTATTGCATTGGCCATCTCTTTCAACATGATGTCAAATACAAGTGGGACAGTGACGTCTTTTTTTTGTTGCTGTTTTCCCCAAGCTCAGGGCAAAGTGCTCAGTATTCCACCGTGAAGTGTGATGTTGCTGTAAGCTTTAAAGGGAGTCCCTGTTTACTCCTGGTTTACTGAGAGTTTTTAAACAAATAGTTGTTACATTTTATCACATGCTTTCTTCTGCATCTATTGAGATGATGAGATATATATATATTTTTTTTTTTTTTTCCATTATTAGTGTGGTGGATTACGTTGATGGATTTTCAAATATTAAACCAACATCGTACTCCTGGAGTCAACCCCACAGGGTCATGGTGTATTGTTTAGTATGTTACAGAATTCGATTTACAAATTTTTCGTTTGAGATTTTTGCGTCTACTTTTATCGGTGAGATTGGCCTGCACTATTCCTTTCTCGTGATGTTCTTGTCAGATTTTGTGTGGTGGATTACGTTGATGGATTTTCAAATATTAAACCAACATCGTACTCCTGGAGTCAACCCCACAGGGTCATGGTGTATTGTTTAGTATGTTACAGAATTCGATTTACAAATTTTTCGTTTGAGATTTTTGCGTCTACTTTTATCGGTGAGATTGGCCTGCACTATTCCTTTCTCGTGATGTTCTTGTCAGATTTTGGTATTAAATTTATGGTCTCCTAAAAAGAGTTAAAAAGAGTCTTTTTTCCTGTTCAGTGAAAGGGTTTACATAAGGTTTTTGTTTTGTTTGTTTGTTTGGCTTAAATATTTGGAAAGATCGATCTGTGATGCCATCTAGACCTGGAGTTTAACTGTAGAGTTAATCTCTTTAGCAGAGATAGGCCTTTCCAGATTTTCTGTTACTTTTATGTCCATTTTGATAAGCTGTGTCTTTACTGTCAAATTCCTGGCAGGTGGATGTTTCTTATCTCCTGATTTTAATATTTGTGAATCAGTCATGGTGTTCTCATTTTCATTCTTGATATTGGTGATTCACGGTTTCTCTTTTTCCTTGCTCAGTCTATTTAGAGGTTTATCAACTTAAAAAATGTTTCAAAGATCCAACTTTTGGTTTTGTTAATTTTCTCTGTAGTACGTTTGTTTTCCATTTAATTGAATTCTGCTCTTTATTATTTCCTATCTTCTACTGTCTTTTTATTGAATTGTTCTCTTTCTAGCCTCTTGGGACGGTAGTTTAGGTACTTTCCAATTTGTTTTCTTTCCTAATATGTGCATTTAAAATCTATAAACTTTTCTCTAATCACTTTTAGCTGCATCATAATGCTTTGATATGTCATATTTTCATAACTGTTCGATTCCAATCATTTAAGAATTTCCATTGAATTTCTCCTTTGATCCACACTTTATTTGAAAGATGTGCTGCTTAATTTTTGAACATCTAGGATAATTTCTAGTTACCTCTTCATTATTCTAGTTTGCTTCGATGGCCATCAGAGAATTTAATCCATATTGTTTCAGCCTTTCGGAGTTGATCGAGATACCCGTGCCCAGCGTGCGGTCCGTGTTGGGAGAGGAACGCGGGCAGAGAACGTGTCCCGGGGGTGGCTGACGGGGTCCGCGTGTGCCCTTAGGTCCAGTCGGTTAACGGGGTGCTCAGGTCCGCAGTGGTTCCTGGCTTGCGGTTCCTGAGGGGAGTGTGTTGAAATAGCCCTCTGGGATCGTGGGTTTGCTGTGTCTCTTCTTTTAATCTCTGTCAACTTGTGCTTATACATATATACATGTATGTATGTTATATTACAAATAATATATACTATTAATGCACACTTGAAAATGTTATATTTCTGACAAATTTATCTTTTTAATATTATGAAATGTCTCTTTCGTCTTTATTAATGATTTTATTAAATTTTCAATAATGTTTTCTAAATAAATGTTAGTATGTATCTAAATATTTCTGCCGTATCTCTAAAATTGGCATTTTCTGTATAACTCTTTTGTCACACTCAGCGAAACGAGCAACAGTGTCTTAACGAAGGCCCGGCACGTGCTCGCGTGCTCCTGGTACCTCCCAGGTGTGCTGGCGGTTGTTCCGTGCGTGCGAATCGGCGCCGCCGGGGACCACACAGCGAGTCGGGCCGCCTCAGTCTCGGCGAGCTGCCCTCGGCTTTCCGTTTTCGAGATGTGGGCTCACTCGTGAGGACAGCCTCCGGTTCCGCAGACAGCCGCCTTCGGGGTCTGTCCGATTGCTGCCTCAGGGCGGGGTCCAGGCGGGTCTGTGCCCCCTGCCCCCTGCCACCCCATGGCGAGCTGAGAGGCGGGGTGGATCGGGCTGGCATCTGGCCAAGGCGCCTGGGAGTCCGTGTACCCCGCTTTGCCCTTAGTGTGTGGCTGTCGCATCGTCGGAGCCACGGCTGGTCAGTGGCCAGTGCTGGCCAGACCCCCGGCCAGCTGCGTTGCCCGTGGCTGCTCGGAACGGTGGCGCTTTGGCACCTGGTAGCAGTGGTGTCCCCTGCTTTGCGAGCAGGAGGTTGATGGGACAGAGCTTTGTCAGCACCTGCAGGGCTGAGAAGGTCACAGGCCTGACAGGGGAGGATGCGGTTCTGTCACAGCTGTGACCACAGCCGACCCCATGGTCAGCTCTGCACGGCCACCACAGCGCCCACCCACCCTCCCCGGGGCTCGGCCGCCCCCGTTGGAACGGCCGTTTCTCTGACCCCCGGAAGAGCTTCCTTCCCACGTGGGCCTGTGGCCTCCGTGAGCTTCGGACCCTTCTGGAAGGTCTGCCGGGCGCCCGTTTCCATCCCTTACCTACGGATCTCTAGGGAGGGTGTGGCTGCAGGCGTCTCCGACGGCCACGGGCGAGGTCCCCGCGTGGGGTTTGGGGACTCTTTCTGGGCGTCTGGACAATGTCAGTCAGTCACTGTCACACTTTGTGACGCTCGGTCATCTGCAGTTGCCTCCTCAAGGCGCTTCCGAATCATTCGCTGTGCCCCAGTCTGTATCTGTGGCCCCAAGGAGCCCTGAGGTCGCCCAGGGCTGCGGGGTCCCAGACCGGCGACCCCAGGCCGTCTGTGTGCCTCCTGCCGCCGGGGGTTCCGCTGGGGCGGAAACCGGTGTTTGTTAAGCTCTGTGTGTCTGCTGAGCTGGCGTTTAAGGTTTTTCTTTATCGTCCTAGTGTGGAGAATGACAAGACGTGGCGTCGCGTCCAGCCCTGGGCGACCGGCGAGGCGCCGGGTGGCGTCCGCCCGGGGAGCCGTCTGCTCTCTTACGGGGCGGCTCTGAAATCCCGATTCGGCCTCTGAGGCAGCCGGCGGTCGGTACCGTCTTCTGCTTCTCCTTGCGTCGGTTTTGGCGACCGCGTTTGTCCCGTGAAAGCGGCGTGCCAGAGCAGCGAGCCGAAACGGGTCCTGTGCCCCGGGGGTCGCGCCCTCGCACCGGGCCTGTGACCCGGCTCGGACCGACTGTCGTGTGACGCCGGTCGGGCTGTGGTTCGCG